ATCTCTTTTTGAAATAAGCAATTTATTTGAAGAGATATATATATTCGGAAATCTCTAACTTATATTTGATAGTTTCGAAGAAGGTATTCTATTCTTTTGTATTAATCAGTAATATTGAAATCTTTGAATTATAGCATTCCAATTATTTTAGATAAAGAAACTGAAGATACAAGAATCTTAAAGAAGTAGTTTAAATAAATAATAAATTACTCAATGTTAAGATTTTCTTTTATTTATTTTAAATCAAAACCTTTTTCGAATCTTTTGTTATTACTTGTTTTTCGATTAACTAGAGTTATAACTAATTCTAGAAAGTCTTTTTTTTGATTATTAATATCAGGAATATTAGTAATAAGTAAGAAGATCGAAGATTTAGAGTTTATAATAAATAATTCATTTTCCTGAAATTTAATTCCAAAATCAAAAATAGATATATTATTAATTGATTATTGTTTTGTTTGTAATTATATTGATATAATATAAAAAGTGATTGAATAATTGAATAAATAGTATTTCTTTGTATAATATAAATATAAATCCTTTTGTTTTTTTTTTTTAACAACTTTATTAAAATTTGATAAAATTATATTTTCCGAAATTCTTATTCCCTTAAATTTTATAAAAAAGAAAAAAAGTAAAATTATAAATTGGCATCTTATTATAGAAAACTTTAATTATAAATTTTTTTCAAAAATATTTCTGGATACCCTAAACTTGAGCCGAATAGGTTACTTTTGTAAGCAATCTTTTATTTAGATTTAATAATAATCCTCCTTCGATTTTATTATAAACAATTTTGAGTTTCTTAAAATAATCAAATCCTATTTAGGTATAAGTAATACTAGAAAATATAAAGGTTTTTTAGAAAACTCAAAATTTCTTATATTGAAATATAGGAAATGAATGCTATCTAATTTTTTTTAGATTTATTTTATAAAAAAAAACTTTTCTTTTTAAAGTTAATTATTTTATCCAGATTTCTGCAAATATTATTAAAAAGGTTTCTATAAATTGTTCTTACAATCTTTCTATAATAATAAAGTATAATCTATTTATAGATAACTCTATTTTGTTTTAAATCCATATAAGATTATAATTCGGTTTTTTGAAGAGAGAATGTATCCCCCTCTTTATCCATTATCGAACTAGCATTATTCAATTCTTTTGTAATATTGAATAACTCTTCATTTTCTTATTTCCTATCAACTTTTCCAAATCAATAATTTTCTACTTTTTGAAGTAATTCAAAAGCTTAGATTTATATATAGCTTTCTAATCTTTTAATATTCTTCTTCCTATATAGATTATTAATATAAAAGAATAGAAAGTAATAGGATTATAAAATAATTCTTTGTGAATACTACAAATAAGTTATTGAGATATAATACCTCCAACAAAGAAGAGAAAAAGTAAGTACTACATAGCATATCACAAAACATACAAAAAGGTGAATAGAAACTGACTGCTTTTTCTAAACTACACAAAGAAGACCTGTAAATACTAGCTACAGAAAGAGGTCACGTGACCAGTACCAAGTTTCGCCCACATTAGCTTGAAAAATATTAATATTCAAAAAGATCTTATATACTCTAATAAATATAAAAATTAAGATTTAAAATTATTAGAAGAAGAAGATCTCGAATTTGAATTTATTTAAGATAATATAGAGGATAAAAATATTATTAATATTAATAAACATCAAGCTAATCCCAAAATAAACAGAAATAATAAAAATGATAAAATAATCGATTATATAGAGATTAATTCTAATAAGCCTATATTTAATAAATCTATATCTAATAAAATAATAAAATCTAATATATAATAATCTAAATATATAAAAAATTTAATTTTTAATAATAAAGATCTTATTGATGATGGAAAACATATAATTTTTTATTATAAATTTGTTTTTTTTAAATACTTTAATTCAATTAATAAGGAGGTGAATATCGAAATAGATTAATAAGATTTTTAATTAGTTTTTAATATTAGATTTAAAAATAATAATAAAATTATTATTAATAAATTAAATTATATATTAATTGAATTTAAAACCTATAAAAAAGCTATTAGCTTTTTGGAAAAGGAATATTAATTAAAAACTATAGAATACAAAATAAATACTTTTGAATCCAATAGAATTTGGGATATTATTAATAATCCTAATAATAATAAAACCTTAAAAACTAAATGGATATATAAAATAAAAAATTCAAGTAAATTTATTAAATTCAAAGTTAGATTTGTTACTAAAGAATTTGAATAGCTATATGGATTAGATTATATTGATATATATGTATTAGTAGTTAAATCAATAATATAAAAGCTTTTATTTATATTAACTTTTCAAAACAATTAGTTAATTTATAAAATTGATATAGTATTAGTATTTATATAAAGCAATATCAATATATTATTCTTATTAAATCTATTAAAAAAATTTAGTAAATTAAAAAATAAAGTTTTAAAACTAAATAAAACTTTATATAATCTAAAATAATTAGCTAGGATATAATATTATATCTTAAAAGATATATTAAATAAATTAGGCTTTATAAATCTAATTTTCAAAAAATCTATTTTTATTAATAAAAATAAAAATATAATTCTAAATATATATATTAATAATATTATTATAATAGCCCCAAATCAAGAAATTATTAATAAATTTATTAATAATTTAAAGGAACACTTCAATCTGAAGGATCTAAATCCTATAAAGAACTATCTAGATATTCAAATTGAAAGGATTAATAATACACTAAAACTACATTAATTAAAATATACTAAAAAAATACTTGCTAGATTCAATATACTAGATTTCAATCCTATTTCCACTCCAATAAACCCGAAAATAAAGCTAATTTATAATAAAAGAAAAATTAATAATAATGATATTAAATTATATCAAGAAATTATAGATTTCTTATTGTATTTAATTCTCGAAATTAAATTAGATATAATATTTTCTATATTTAGATTAATTAGTTTTTTATTTAATTTTAGTATAGAATATATTTAAGTTATTAAAAGAATATTAAAATACTTAAAAAGAATTATAAATAAGGATACAAATTATATTAAAATTAAAAACCCTTATATTTAAAGATTTTACGATATGGATTATGAAGAGAAAATCAATATATATAAATCTATTAGTAGATATATATTTATACTAGGGAATAGGCCTATTAATTAAAAATCTAAATTATAATCAATAATAGTTCTTTCTATAATCAAATCTAAATTTATTACTATAAATTTAGCTGCTAAAAAAACTGTTTATATTAAAAAGCTACTATTAGAGCTTAATCTATATAAACAGAATAAATTTTCTTTATATATAGATAATCAGATTATATTAATATTTATTAAAAACTCTATATTCTATAAAAGAAGTAAGCATATAATAATCAAATTTTATTATATTAAGGATATTATTAAATTAGAGAATTTAAATCTAATTTATATATCTATTAATAAATAGAAAGCTGATAAACTTATTAAACTATTAACTCAAATTAAATTAATCAAATTTATAAATCAGATTAATCTGAATTAGATTGATTTAATATACCTATTAAGGAAGTATATAAGGATTTATAATAAATCTACTAAATCATTTACTAATATTTTATTAAATAAAGAATACATTGATAATTAATACATATATAATATAATCTTATATTATAAAATCATATTATTATATAGTTATATAATAATATCTTTTATCAAATTGATTTATAATAGAATAAAATGAAATAAAACTAAATAAAAGTATACAAGAAATTTCGCTAAATTAATTGATTATACTTTCTTTTTATTATCTAAAGTGATTCTATAAAATACAATTTAAATTGATTTTATTTATAAGTATAAAATATACTAGAATTTTATTATAAACTATATAAATCTAGAATATTCTTTAAAGAAACTCTAGGAAAAAGCAAGCAATTTCATCTCAATTCAGTCTAGCTCTTCTAAATTGACTTCAATTCAACTCTTATTCTATATATTCGATTTATCCCTCAAGTTTAAACTGATTAGATTTTTCACTATTCTTATAATAATACTATTCCTTCTTATTATAAGAGCTAACCTCCAAGAATGAGAAAGAAAAAAAGTATGAGAAAGAAAAATATTAACGCTCGGTGTTTACTTGTCGTCTTCAAGAGCACAGAAATCAAATTTCCGGGAAAGATCGAGAATTTTCTAGACGATCCAGGCACTCTCACTTTTTCTAACCACTTTTTAATTGATCAATAAGAATACTTACTCCGCGATCTATTGTTGCCCATACAACCATTTTTTCCCCTTCACGAATGGGGTCTAGCGCGCTTTCGTGATCGCGGGATGAAAATAAAATACTTATAGCCTGAATTCACAAACTCATTCATACTTCCAGTACCCCCACAGTATGATCGAAGTCATACTGGTTACTTCTTCCTCGTACGCTCGTCAGTAAAGCCTATAATCAATGTTCATGTTGTAATAATGGGTCTGGTAAATAGTAATCAACCTGAATTTATTGCATTATCTACTTTTTGTAAACAAGTGATCCTAGGTGCCACTGTACTTGCATGAGATGCATGTATTTCTGGGTGTAAGCCGGATCAACCTCATTACCATGATAAATGTTGGATGACTCTGTACGAATACGTTCAATCAACTTCTTGTGTTTATCAACCATATCCATGTAATAATCCCGACTCGCATTAACCATGTACGTAGTCGCATACCAACCATCGATTGAGTATCCTTCCTTCATCCACAGCTCTGGTTCTTCCTTCAACATGTTCTCAATAAAGAGGATCCCACCCTTGAAAAAGCCGTCAAACCAGACACCTATTCATCTGACCTGTGCTCCTTCCTCTTCAAGCTATAAAACGTCAACGATTTGATGCACAAGATTTGGATGTTCGACTTACACTGGTGGCTGGGCTTGGGTGTTTGATCGCGTGGGCGGCGCATGTCACCAATTGCTTGTATGCAGCAATTTATCCTGCCTCATCATCTAATCCAACGTGTGGGCTCGCCATTGCCTGCATCGTAGACTTAAAGACGTTTGCCAAGATGTGGTCGTAGATTTTGCAAGCTTCAACGTCATCGATGGCGGGATGATTGCGAATTTTCTGGTTGGTCACCACGCCTTCCACAACTTCGAAGGCAAGAGCGTCATGGAGATCGATCTCCGCCATACTACATCATATAATTCGTTAGCCATTTGTTTCCAACTCAAAAGTTAGATCGGCGCGAGCTTACCTGAATAGATAGAATAGTACGAGGCTCTACCGAGTCCCACAAGTGCCTTCCCTTCTCTCGACTTATACCTAGAAAAACCATGCATATCAATACTCGTATCTGGGTTAGGTGATTGAAATGAAACTTACAACTTGAAAAGAGTCTTGGTAGATTCTTGGATGGCGATAAATTGGTACGATCTTGCTTTGCGTTGTTTTTGTTTGTGAAAGTTTTGCGATTCGAAAATGTCGACTCATCTTTAAATAAGAATCATTGTTGCGATAAGCGATCAGGGTTCTCGTATTTCCGTCTAAAGTCTCCTATCATGTGATTTCAGTTCATTTTGATATAAATAATTCTTGACCGGCGCCATAGGTCGGTTAAAATTGCTCTCGTGGCTGGACGTTGAGTAAAATTTCCCGAATGTGATGGTTGCCTTAAAGCATGAAGAACGAATTCCCCACCTTGGTTTTTTAAACATTTTATCTGTGTTAGTCCTTTCTCACAGTGAAGCCAGATCTTGCTTCTATCACTTTGAAATGTAGATACTAGTAATCACGAGATAAATCCATCATATTGCTATGTCATCTAAAAGCTAAACATCCCCGAGTCTTCATACCACTTATGCTATCTTTACATATAATTTGTGTTTCCTTCTTAGCAACTCAAACCTCGATCAAAATCATACTCCGACCCATCTTATACTTCCCTCTCACTTTCCTCGCCAGTCTCCCTCATACAGCCTACCAACTCTAACTTATTTACAGGAACATCAATGCTAGTACAAACAAATCTACCACACATCATCTCCTCAAAATATTGGTCATACAATGGCCAGTATGGTTCTATCTCCTTGCCAACTATTTGAAACCTGAAAATGTCATCAGATAATCTCGAAAGGTACTTTCGAATGTATGATTGAACATCTCCTGCTTCAATTACACACTCCCTAACCAAACAATGCTGCATCAACTTCGAGAATGTGCGAATTGTCCTGTCAGACAATTTCTCTTCCCAAAATTGAAGGCGTGAATCCCTGTGGTCCACATTCGATAATGTCCTCAGATCTCCCATCGCGACTAGATAGACAACGTCCGCAAAAACAAGCATACACAAAGCGTATGAGTAGAATGACTTGAATTGTGTGGCCAACGCTTCTGCTTGAATTGCTTCGGGTGAACCTTCATGAAAGCTATCCCACAGTTCCCTTTTGATGTTCCATTCTATCAACAGTGTGAGTTGTAGTGTGCCTAAGTTTGCATCATCAGTATTGCGAGCGAAAAGACTCTCGAATTCGTCCCAAGTCTTCCTAATCATTTGTAGATTCTTCAGTTCGAAAGACCGACGTGCTCCTAGAATTTGTGCCAGGGTTTCGTTCTGCTTGACAGAGAACTCATTCAGGAACATTCTGCATTTCAGCTCAGCGATTCGAACCTTAATGTCTGATAAACCTGTAAGCCACTCTAGTTAGTCATGACTCGAATCAACTTTTGAAGACACAGGCATGTACTTACTCTCTTTCTTGGCTAAGAACATAAATTTATCCATGATTTCTATAGCCTCTTGAGAATCCCTCGATACAATTGTGACTTCATCATCATCATCATCAACATAGTCTTTGACCTGCATCACAAGCCTCAAATTTGCCTGATATAGAAAGTGCGTGTATGTATCTTCGTGGTCTTCCTCTTCATTCCAGCTTTCATCGATAACTTTGATCAGCTGTGCATCTGCGGCCATGGTATTATCGAAGTACTTCGATCTGAGATCATCTCGATAATACTCATCGGCATAAGATAGATTGATACTTGTGAATGGTGTCAGATTCGATAAGCCATTGTGATTTAAAATTCCACCCGGTGTTAACACACCAGGCGAGCCACCCTGATTCTCCTTGGGCTCATCTGCGAGCAGCCAACCTGGAAGCACTGCAGTAATAAACTTATCTGCTTTCTGCTCTAAGAACATTCCTTCTGTGGGCGTGGCCTTGTCTACAGCGAAGATGTCGAAATGGGCGACATTTTGCCTGCTTCTCTTTTGAACAAGGTTTTTATTGAGACCATTTGCTTCGTTTGCATGTTCCAAGAGCCCAAAAAGCGATGCATGTTGCAGACGCGGAGAGTTTGATCTTGAGGGAGGAGAGCTGAAAGGATGGTTCGTGGAGCGTCCTGTTGTGAAGGAAGCGCCCAATGAAGTACGGCGTGGTCTTGCTACTGTTTCATGTTAGTAATTGTTACTGCGAACTGGTGTGGATGCTTACAAGTACGTGTGCCCAGATCATACGATGCGTTTCGCTTTCTCCTAGTTCGATTGGTCGTGGCGGGCTCTAATTCACATTCAACAGTGGAATCACCGGAGTGTATGGTGACATCTTCAATGAGGTGGTGGGTTGGTGTAAGTGGAGACGCTGTGCTGATAAGGACCGCTTTCAGAATATACCCGATTTAATAACTTATTTTCAAAAAAAGAAGCGAGTTTTTACACTTCATCAATTTTATCAAAATGAAAATCTGAATTTCAATTACTTCTAACTATATTTGTCACTCGATAATGACTCACAGAAGTGGACGTAAACTCCTGGTTGGAGAACGGAAAGAGGGCTCAATGGAAAAAGATGCAGAGCCTTCATTTATAGATGCTATATATTTATGCGGGCGGCAAGTTCCAAATCGGACTACTTATCCAGAAGCGGGTGTCGATTGGGTGGTTGTCCAAAACATGCAATCCTCCAACTTGTTAGCCCCAAGCGCTGTATGTGTTAGTAAGGTCTTATTGATGGGGAAGCAATTAAAATTCGCTATTGTTGATTTACAGACCTGGCGCAAGGATCTGCGGAGAGGGTCTGCAGAGAGAATCTTCCGATAATGGTTCGTTTCTTGGAGAGAGACTATCGAATCGGAAATATTTTCTTTTTGACGTAATAGGTACCATTATTATTGATTAAAGAGTTAAGTGTAAGGATAGGAGCGGGGTCCCGGTAGAGTCCGCTATAACCAAATTTCGTCCATTGATCTGCATATAGTCCTTGGCAGAGGGGCCGGCTAGCGATGCGAGAGTAGTTAAATTTGACTCAAATATATTTTTAAGCTGCAGCGTGGAGCTCAGCGAGTCCCTCCTTCGTGCTAGAAAAAGCGCTCTTGCTTTCCTTCACTTTGGCTGATTGTCGAAGGCTGCCTGCTGCTCAAGAGGGCTCTGTGCCGCGGCTTTTGTGGGATGTCCCCGTAAATGTTTGAATGAGTTAGTGAATGAAAATATCATGATAATTAAAATGGTACACCTGGTAAGTTTTGGTGCTGCGTCAAATGAGCTAGTGCGAAGGCTATCGGGATTGGGGGGCAATGTTGCGTGTGAATTCGTGAAGTTTGAAGACTATGCGGGGCAATGTGGGGGCGGGGAGGAAAGGTCTCTCGATTTTGATCCGTTGGGATGTCAGTAAAGATTGTGTGAAAAATTGTATTGAAGTTTACACAACTCATACCCATAGCCATTGCTGCAAGCTCTACCCTTTGGACATGTACTTCCACACCTCCTTTTCGCTCGTACACATTCATATTTTCCTGCAACACATTTCTTCCCACATTTGCATCCTTTCTCCACCAATTTTTGAAGGTCAACAATCTCATCCACCAAGCACTGCAGGTCATCCTTTTCAGTGAACAAACGCACATCATCTCCTCTTGCTGCAAAGTGTTCTGGATCCTTTCCTATCTTCAACAACACCTGATCCAATATACCTGAGGCTACAACATCTGTACCCTCGTTCGTACACGACTCATTCTTTACTGTGTATTTGAATGATCTAATCACGTCTCTCATCAACCAAGGCGGCCAACCCATACCTCCACTTATAGCGCTATCCGTGACCGTTATAGGTGCGTGGATTGTCCCTGGAGGCATGATGAGGGTATCGCCCGCTTCCATAAACACCAACTAAATATGCTCCTGCTATTCACTGGCTTAGGTGACCAATTTTCTCCTTTCGACTCGAACTCTTTCAACTCCTTTTCCTTCACCTCGGAATCGATCCCATCCCAATTTGCAACAGTCCAAATCTTCAAAGGATCAGGACCATCACCTCCATCCTTCTCCAACATGATCCAAGTCATTGCTCCGTGATGATCAATGTGAGGTACCGAGACTGAAACTTCCTGAGCGAAAAGCGCGGAATTCTGACACCTGTGTAGACCTTTTATATTTTCAATGTGAGGATTCATAATAAGTCCACTAAATCACTTATTAATATCTTATCAAATAAGGGATATATTGATGACTAATACACATATGATATGATCTTATATTATAAAATCATATTATCATATAGTTGTATAATAATATCTCTTATCAAATTGATTTATAATGGAATAGAATGAAATAGAACTAGATGGAAGTATATAGGAAATCTCGCTAAATTGATTGGTTGTACTTTCTTTTTATTATCTAAAGTGATTCTATAAGATACGATTTAAATCGATCTTATTTATAAGTATGGAATATACTGGAATTTCATTATAAACTATATAAACCTAGAATATTCTTTAAAGGAATTCTAGGAAAAAGCAAGCAATTTCATTTCAACTTAGCCTAGCTTTTCTAAATTGATTTCAATTCAATTTTTATTTTATATATTCGATTTATCCCTATAGCTTAAATTAACTAGATCTTCTATTATTCTTATAATAATATTATTCCTTCTTATTATAAGAGTTAACCTTTAAGAGGTTATAAGTTTGACTAATCTAAATTAGTTTAAAAAAGGAATTAGCTTGATTTAAGACTATATATTATATATATATTATTATTAAATTATTGAATATCGAATCTTTCGAATTAATTCAATCGAATTTATATCGAAAATTACTGTATATAGATTCTGAGGCCTGTATTCCTGAAACTAAACCTAATTAAGTATATAAAATTAGGTTTCTAAACGATATATTTATACTATATTGCTATTTATAGTAAATGATATATTAATTTTCTTTATATCAAAATATTTTAGTTTATTTAGTCTTTATTTTATATCAAATAAGATAAAGAGCTAATTTAAAAGGTAATTGGTTTATTCGATTTTCAAGATTAAAATCGATTTTAAATTGATTTATTTATTTAATTTATTCAAGCCTAAAACTAGCTATATATTTAGATTAGTATTTAATTAGTGTAAAATCAATTAATCTATAAAGAATTTAAAATAACTTTTAGTATTAATTTTAAATTTGATTCTCTAAAAGACAGATCTAATTATATCGAATGGATTAATCAAACTAAGCTTTTTCTTGAAATAAATGGCTTTATACTATATATCAATAGTATTGAGATTCTATCTAATAAAAGTCTATATATAGATAAATCAGAAAGGCCTATTTCAATTGAATTAATTATAAAATATAATGAAAGGCTTTCAGAATATTAAAAAAACAAAAGAAAGGTATTAGGAGCTATTAAATCCATAATTAGCTTCGAATTAATCGAAAGATTTAAGGAAACTATAGCTAAAAGTTTATGGGATTCTATTAATAAGATATTTGGAAAGTCCTTTATTGAATTAATAGGAAGATATTTAAATAGATTAATAGAATCTAATTATATTAATTTAGAAGGAATAGATGAATATACTAATTCAATCTAATCATTATATAATTATCTAAAATCAATGAATTTCGATATTCCGGATACCTTTATAATATAATTTCTTTTTAGAGGCCTATCTAGCTTTTTTAATGATTTTGTCTTTCGAAAATATAAAGAATTAGCTAAAAATACAGCTAATATTAATTTAAATAAGCTCTTTTTTAAGCTAATATTCGAAAAGGTTAGAATACGATTTAATATTGATTTAAATATTAATAAAATAAGTTTTAATAAAGTTTCTTATTATAAGTATTATTCTAAAAAGGAGTATTTAGAATTGAAATACTTTATAAAATATTCTGAATTAAAGACTAATAAAGGGAATAATAAAAAGCAATTTAAATCAAATCCGAATAGAAATTCGAATAAAGATTTGAAGAGAAATTCAAATAAATTTATTTCTAGTAAGTAATTAATAACTATAGATTATTATATAGACTTAACTAATCAATCTTTTAAATCTAAATATAAATTTATATTAGATTCAAATACTATAAAGTATTATTTATCCAATAAGGAATAATTTATAAATTATAAGCTATTAAATAACCATTTCATTATTATAGCTAATAGGAAAAAGCTTTATATTAATGATATAGGAGATATTCCTATTCTAATTAATAATAAATTAAAGGTATTGTTATAAGGAATATATTATATTTCTAATATAGCCTTCAATCTTATTAGTTTGAATAAAATAGTCTAAAAAGAGTAATCTAGTTATATTATTCTTTCGAAAAACAAAATCGATATTATTCATAAAGAAATTAATATACGAATTACAGCTCTCTAACTAATTGATATATATTACCTTAATTTTAAGATAGATTCTAAATATCTTAAAAGTATCAATATCTCTGAAATGGAAAAGAAATCAACTCAAGAATTAGATTTATTATTAAATAAAATCGATCTCAATTTAATCTATAAGAGATTAGATTATATAAATAAGGATTATATTATTAAATCTTTAAATATCTAATCAAATATAGCTAAATTTGATTTAAAAATATATGAATTATATAAATTCGATAAATTCTATTAGAAAATAAATAAGGAATCTTTGGAAATCCCTAAAATAAGCTTTAAATTCGAAAAATTCAGTTTAGATATAGCTGGATCTTTTAAAATTATAGGGATTAAAAATAAAAAATATTTTTTAGTATTTATTGATTGGGCTATTAAAACTATTTAAATATATTTTATTAAATTTAAATCTTAGGTTTATGATATTCTAATAAAGTTTTATAATCTAATTAGAAATTAGTTTAATATTAATATTAAAATATTAAGATTAGATAATATTTTTGAATTCCTTTTAAATAAATAATCAGATTTTATTTGAAATTACGGGATTATATATGAATATATTAGTCTGTATATTTATTTCCAGAATAAAATAATCAAAATACTAAATAGATATATAATTGAAAGATTAATCTATATAACTAAAAAGAAAGAAATTCTATTTTATTTATAGTTATATCTAATTAAAACTATTACTTATATTAAGAATAGAATATATAATAGTTTTATTAATAATTCATTATTTGAATTAATATATAATAAAAAGTCTGATTTAAGTTATATTAGAATTCTAGGTTTTTTTATTTATATTATTAATAATAAAAAGATTTGTAATAAAAAACTAGATTCTAGAGTTTGAAAAGATATATTAATAGGCTTTGATTTGTCTAATAATTACTTAGTCTATATTCCAGTCAATAAGAGAATAATTAGTTCGAAAAATATTGATATTCAAAAAGACTTTATATATTTTAATAAATATAAAAATTAGAATCTAAAGTTATTAGAAAAAGAAGATCTCGAATTTGAATCTATTCAGAATAATATAAAGGATAAAGATACTACTAATATTAATAGACATCAAGCTAATCCCGAAATAAATAAAAACAATAAAAGTAATAAAACAATCAATTATATAGAAATCGATCTCAATAAGCCTATACTTAATAAACCTATATTTAATAAATCTAATATACAATAATCTAAATATATAAGAAATCTAATTCCTGATAATAAAAGCCTTAATAAAAATAGAAAATATATGATTTCCTATTATAGACTTACTTTTTCCAGATACTTTAATTTAATTAATAAGGAAATGAATATCGAAATAAATTAACAAGATCTTTAATTAACTTTCAATATCAGGCTTAAAAATAATAAAAAGATTATTATTAATAAACCAGATTATATATTAATTGAACCTAAAATCTATAAAGAAGCTATTAGCTTTTCAAAAAAAGAATATTAGCTAAAAGCTATAAAATACAAAATAAACATTCTTGAATCTAATAGAATTTGGGATATTATTGATAATCCCAATAATAATAAAACCCTAAAAACTAAATGGATATATAAAATAAAAGATTCAAATAAATATATTAAATTCAAAACTAGATTTATTATTAAAAGATTCAAATAATTATATGAATTAAACTATATTGATATACATGTATTAATAGTTAAATCAATAGTATAAAAGTTTTTATTTATATTAGCTTTTTAAAATGATTAGTTAATTTATAAAATTGATATAATGCTAGTGTTTACACAAAGTAATATCGATATATTACTTTTATTAAGTTTACCAAAAGGATTTAGCGAATTAAAGAATAAAGCTTTAAAACTAAATAAAACTTTATATAATTTAAAATAGTTAGCCAGAATATAATATCATACTCTAAAAGATATATTAAATAAATTAGGCTTTATAAACCTAATCTTCAAAAAATATATTTTTATTAATAAAAATAAGAATATGATTTTAAGTATATATATCAACAATATTACTATAATAACCCCAAATCAAGAAATTATTAATAAATTTATTAATAATCTAAAAGAATACTTTGATTTAAAGAATCTAGATTCTATAAAGAACTATTTAGATATTCAAATTGAAAGGATTAGCAATACACTAAAGTTACACTAATCAGAATACACTAAAAAGATACTTGCTAGATTCAATATACTAAATTCTAATTCTATTTCCACTCCAATAAACCCGAAAATAAAGCTAATTTATAATAAAAAAAAAGCTAATAATAATAATATTAAACTATATCAAGAAATTATAAGCTCTTTATTATATTTAACTCTTAGAATTAAATTAAATATAATATTTTCTATATCTAAATTAATTAATTTCTTGTTCAATCCTAGCACAAAATATATTCAAGTTACTAAAAAAATATTGAAATACTTGAAAGGGATTATAAATAAGAATACAAATTATATTAAAATTAAAAGTTCTTATATTCAAAAATTCTATAATACCAACTATAAAAAGAAGATCAATATATATAAATCCATTAGCGGATATATATTTATATTAGGGAATAAGCCTATTAATTGGAAATCTAAATTACAATTAGTAGTAATTCTTTCTACAGCCGAATCTGAATTTATTACTATAAACCTAATTGTTAAAGAAATTATTTATATTAAA